CCACCCGTCTTTTCTCTTCCATGATAAGATCGGTGCTTGAGTACGGCTCACCCGCTCATTGCCCGATCACAATAGGTGAGGTGTAGAAACTGGAACGGGTCCAGCATGTAGCTATCCGGCTCATCCCCAGTTTACGCGGAATGTCGTACGAGAAGACTAGGGCTTTGTACCCTGTCGTATTGTCGGCTTCTAGTTGATCTCACGATGACGCACCGCCTATTACACCTGGGCCACTTCCCTATGTTGAGGACGCTACTGCAATTTCGCACACCAAGCAGCGCGCGCGGACACGGGTACAAAGTAGTGGTGCTGGATTTAAAGCGCATCACTCACCCTCTATGTCTCGAGCGTCGAGTGGTGAACTATTGAAACAAATTCCCGGAAACGCTAGTCGAGGGGACGCATCGCACCCGGATAAGATGTAATACAGGTGCAATATGCTACCGGCCGCGCAGGAATCAACGACGCGATTTCGCGCATGTGCCCGATCCACCTACGCTGGAGCAACACGTATTTTTATCTTTTCGCTCTCTATTCTCGGTGTTCAGTATCTTGACAAGGTAACTCTTGTCAAACACCCTCCACCTCGATTCTTGGCTCCAGGATACTGTGAATCGTTGCTGGGGGAGGGAACAAGATGCACGGTCCTCGTTGTCGTGCTAGGCTCAAAGAGTGGTTCCATCCAGTGTGGAGCGGGCTACGACCCATCAACCGCCTTGTGTACGTCTGGTACGCATGATTCCATACATAGATAGATGGGAATGCTGGTGCTGGGCATGTTGAAACAGTGGGGGCCGACTCCGTTGATGAAACGTGGCTCCCATCCATATGCCTTTAGGTCTTATTCCTTCGGGTTTACACTGGATATGGGTGTATGGATGGAGCTGTGGGTGGTGCAGTGCAAGTGACCTATAGTCCTTCTCTAGGCGCAAGCTTCCTGTGCATGTCCTCGTGGAGGCCGCATTGACAATCAAATCGGGAACCGGATGCTGCCAACTATGTCGGAGGTTGGTAGGTAGGTGTAGCCAGAAGACAAATGTTGCATATTCTGCTAAGCTCGAAGTAACGCGTAACGCTGTGATGGCAAGGCAGTTGTAGACACGGAGCTTCGAGTGCTACCTACTTTCTCATAGTTGCGTATTTCATGAAAATACCAATCATCGAGTTGTTAAGGCGGCGATTGGGCGGTATATTTATATTTACGACAACAGCACGCATGTGTGGGAGCGCATCTCGATGTTTTTCTCCGTTTTCTGGTATCTTCATTTGTTTCCAAGCAATCACTTGTTCAATACCTTTAATATTTTTTGTAGTGACTAAACCGAATGAGTTCGGAGCGGTGAGACCGCCGTCAGGACTACTGGTATCTATTCAGTTCGGTCGTCATACATTAGTCGTTGAGATAGAACGTGCAACAGTTATTTGATGTTACCGCTCCTAGATACGAGTTGTCAAGTTCCACTTTGGTATTTGCGGTTGCCACACTTGTTGTGCCTTTTTATGTTAATTTGTGTATGGTTTATCTGCATATCTGTTACCATTTTTCGGCGTTCTCAGCGTCATTTTAAAAATCGGTCGTTGCAAATAATATAATATATTTGTATTGGGTGCACTCAGTTATGATATTTTGACCGTGCAGGAAACATTCTGCCAATTCTTCGCTCGAAAATTTAAAATGATTGAACAACAGTTCCTCGATGTTTTCCTTTTTAAACACGGATATGTACAGACGATCTCGGACATGTTACAAACGCTAAGTACTGTCGCTTTTGCTTTGTTCAAACTGGATCTTGCTGGTGCATTAAAAGCAGTCACATTTTGCTCTACGGTTTCTTTCTTGATCTCTGAGGCAATGAAGTCAATTAGTTGTTCTGCCGTTCCGAGTTGAACAGCATCACACTTTTCTGATGGATTGCTAATGTAATCCAGTGAGACTAAATGTATACCTGCTTCACTGGACACCTTTTGAGGTACTTCTAACTTTCCACCCGTCTGCTGACACTACTTTATCTTAGGATCAACCTAGTGAACACACAACACAGCTTGTTTCGTTTAATTACTTAGAAACGGTCATAAGGCGGCCAATTTCATGTTCTTTTCCGCAATGTATGTTTGCCAGCTCAGACCTCACTCGGTACCTTTGTCTCTTAACACTCGAACGCCCGGAGCGGTCATTTTGACCGCTCAGCGTTTTTAAATGTGCATATTTTCTACATTTATGGACATTTTTCAAAGATATTTCGTGACTTTTAATGTTTTTGGACGTTCTTCATTACTGTGAATTTTCGTTTTTATATCTGTTATAGTTTTCGAGAAAAGAGGTAGCTATGTTCATACTACCTAGAAAGCCCGTTAGCGGTCAAAATGACCGCTTCTCTCTAATCCGGTTCCCCTTTTTATTTTTAGCCACCACTATCATTTCTGACAGTTATATACTATAGCAGTCAAAACGGGAGTGAAAACTAGCCGAATCACGATTTTACTGTGATATTGTGCGTTCAGTCAGATAAATTCCAGTGACATTTTTGTACACAATGGCACTTCTGAGGAAAACAGCCTTTGAGGTTTTACGAGAACTTACAACCATCGATGACAACGAGTCTGGAGACGAGAACGATTATGATGTTGATAAGGACTCCATCTTCCATGAATCAGCAGAAGATCACAGCATGTCTGATAGTCAAACGTCTGATGATTACACTCCATATGAGGACCCTAGAGAGAGTGTATCAACCGATTCGGTATCTCTCGGTGAGCTTCACGTACCGAAAGATGGTAGCACGTGGATCGCAGTGGAGTTCGAAACATCTACTGTTGGTAGGATTCCATCACAGAATGTGTTTAAGGCTAGACCAGGACCAACTCCCTATGCTAAGAAATGTGTGAAATATGGTGAGCTGTCGAGCACTTTTGACATCATAATCACGCCCCAGATGCCGAAACATATTCAAGTATGTACTGAAGCTGAGGCTAAGAGAGTTTTAGGTGTCAGTTGTCAGTGGAGCGTAAATCTTCCAGAGCTGCGTGCCTTTATTGGTCTACTTTACATCGGAGGCTTCTTGGGTCTGAAGAACATGCCGTTGAATATGATGTGGTGCGATATATATGGACTGCCTATTTTCAGGGAGACAACTGGCAAGAACAGCTTCCAAGAAATAATGAGGTTCCTCCGTTTTGACATGCAAACTACCCGATGTGAAAGACTGCTAACTGATAAGTTTGCTTTGGTATCTGAATTGTGGAATGCATTCATTCGCAACTCTCAACAATGCTATGTGCCTGCGCAGAATCTCACAGTTGATGAGCAATTGTTTCCCTCCAGAACCCGTTGTCGTTTTCTCCAGTACATGCCCAACAAAGCAGATAAGTTCGGTATCAAGTTTTGGATGCTGGCAGAAGTAGACAGCAAGTATCTTGTTAATAGATTTCCATATCTCGGGAAGGACGAAACTCGGTCAAGAGGAGAAAGTTTTGCAGAGAGCGTGGTATTTCGCTTGGTGTCACCATTATTTGGAAAGGGGTACAATGTCACATGTGACAACTTCTTTACATCAGCAGCATTAGGAGAAATGCTGGCCAAGAAAAACACAAGTATGGTGGGAACACTTCGAGCTAATAGAAAGGAAGTACCATCGATTTTGAAGCAAAGAAATAGAGAGCTGTTCAGTTCACTTATGATGAGGAATGAAAACAAGCACACATTAACATCCTACCAGTGTAGAAGGAATAAGAGTGTTTTGGTTTTCAGTTCCCTGCATAGTAACTCTTCCGTTCAAGACTCTGGAAAGAAGAAACCCGAGACTGTGTTATTTTACAACTCCACAAAGTATGGTGTGGATGTACTCGACCAAATGACAAGAGCACTCACTGTGAAGTCATCATCTCGACGATGGCCAGTCCAAGTCTTTTTTAACGTACTGGATTTGGCCGGCATAAATTCCTGGATAATTTATAACAGTGTTTGCGGAACTAAACTATCTCGCCGGTCGTATCTGGTGGGTCTTTCGGAAGAACTGCTTACATGTATACATCACACAAGGTACGTGACAACGGGAATTACGACGAACAACTCAGCGGAGTCAGGAAGTCGTGTGAACACTAAACGTCGGCAGTGTCAGATTAGTTACTGTAAAGGTAACAAATCACAAAACAAGTGCTCTGTTTGTGAAAAAATAGTTTGCGGCTCATGTGGACAGATTGAGCGAGTTATCACTTGCTTCAAGTGCAAATTGGAGTAGGTATACGGAATTCTTTACAATTTTAAAAAAAAACTAAACCTTAATACAATCATTTTTCTGTTACAGGTATGTTCTATACATCAGTTTTTAATAAATGCCGTGAAAAAATTCTTAACTGAAAGTTGGGATAAAAACATATAGCAGTGCGGTCATTTTGACCGGTCCCGGCCGTTCTAGGTATAACGGCGGAGCGGTCTTTCTAGTGTTAAATCATTTATTTTGTCGGGGAACACCCGGTATACAAGCTACCCCGTAGATTGTATCGTTGGTTCTAGGTTATTTTTATGTTTTGTATTACACCTCTATTCGAATGTTTACTTGAAAATCCTGATTGATCACGTTATTGAGGCATTTATCAGCCCCATTCCATAAAGATTTTTAATTGGTACCGGTTTACAACTTTCCGCACCCATTTGGTATGGTAGGCAGCAGCGAGCATTTGCAGAACATTTGCCTTATCCCCTCCCATTGGTCTTTGCGGGTTACGAGAAGCTGTGTACCAATTAATGTCTGCTCTTGTTACGCTGACCATCTTTTCTCCCGAAAGCACGTTTTAAACGCTGGCACCACCTTTGAGTAGTGCGCGTTGTAAGTCCATCAACTACTGAAATGTATGCTGATCTCTTTTGGCTGCTTACACGTGTTTCCCTGGTAGCACACAGTATCCCAGAGTGAATCGGGGTAAGTAAGCAATATCGGTGTTTATTATATGTGAGCAACGTGCAACTACGTTCGCCTGACTGTTTTTCACTCTGTTCTTAGGTGTTCGTCTCTTTCTTGGTTCCGACCTCACCCGTTCCCGCCGTCTTGCTCGTGCCTTTGTGAGCCGGTTGAATCAGTTAGCTGAATGGTTTGAACGCCAACACAAGCTCTCCTTTTATGCCAGTTCACTCCTCCTTGCATATGAGAGCACCACCCACTCCGACGACTCCTCAAATGGTCTGGTCACATTGGACGATTCCAAAGAACACGTAGTCGCCTACCTAATTGACTTCACGCGATGGCGCCCTTTGTTCGGCGGGGCGCGGGATGAAAACTTTTTATATGGGCTCAGGAGACTCATGGAATTGCTTCAGAGAGCTTCTACTGACACAAGCGCTTCAGTTGCCTGTGATTACGCATCACAGAGAAGCAGCTGCTACGATTACTGTTTTCTATAGGCAGTGATCGATTGCTTTCACAGCTGCGCACTTCTTTTTAATGGAGCTTCTGCGTGATACAGCCATGTGAGCTTTTTATTTTTGTATCTACTTTTCTTTTTTGTTTTCTTAATTATCAACTTTTACTGTGCCTTTGTCAATTTAAGTATATTTTAACTTCGGATGCGATTATCCTGCTGGCTATTCACTTTTTATTTGCAACAATACCAGCTTACAATTCGAAGTTGAACCGAATGGACTGGGCCTTAACGTGGTGCTACGGTTTGCGTACCTCTTCGACCCATTGAGCTATACCAGGGGACTCTTACGCTCCTTAGAAGCTATTTTTATCAGGTTTGCCAAAGGGGTTACAGGTCAGACGAACGCAGGCTCCGGGTCCTCCAGGTTGGAAATTCGAAAGAGGATAGCGTCCATTTCTGTAAAACCGTATCGTTGCCACATCCGCTGCATTGCAGACAGGCTATCATTACTTATGGCTTCGGTTGAGGACCATACTCGCTTTCCTGTCTAGGTCTGGGCGCCGTGACAGTATCTTAGCCCATGTACAACCAGAACTACTTCTTAAAACTTTAACCATATCCTGCATCGGCTGTCGCACAGCTTATCAAAGGTCGCCTTCTCTGCTGTAAACAGCAGGGCGGATAAACGAAAACATCCTACTGCTGGCGCCTCCCTTCTTTTTCACCCGCCTCTATGACTTTCCTTCTTACCATCACTACTAATCTTTCTTTTCTGATTCCCAGTTTAATTGACGGTAGCCGCAGGTCACTGCAGTTCTACCATATGCAACTATATTTCCGCATCACTTACTGTACGCCCGTCCGCAACAGCACCTTATAGGGCCATGCTGTCCCGTTTCATCGGTGACATTCGACGTTCGCAATCTAGGACCAATTGGCCAGTCGGCTGTACTCGCACTCACGTTGGACACGCTGAGTATTGACGTGTGTTGCTTGTCCGAAACTAGATCAATGACCCTCACGGGGTTGCTGAACTAACTGCGCCCGGCTTGTCCTCTTGCTGTTAACCGCATCCGGAGACCTTGGTATGATAATCACGGATCAAACTGGTGGTTATCATTCTCAGCCCCTAAGCTGAATTACCGTTGATTGATTAGATTCCCGAGAGCAGCCCTTTGTGTGCAGTCCGTTCGCAAACTAAACTTGATTCACGAATTAGACTAGACTCTAGTTTCCGCTTATGCCCCCACCGACTGCAGCTCTGATGCTACGAAAGACACTTTCTACCACGTACTGAACATGCTGCTATGCAGTGTTAGCAGTCCAGATATCATAGTTCTGGCAGGGGCTATGAATACACAGCTAGGTCGGCTGAGCTTTTCAGAAGCGCTACCAGGTGGCAAGTATGGAGTTAACTCCAACCGGACGGACAACTGCGTGGAGCTTTGACGTATATCCATCCTGGATTTCGGCTTTTTCTGGAGTACTTGCGTCGACTCTGATCATGCCTTGGTACGTTGTCGCTTTTTCATGGACTCCATTGGGAGGCGTACTAAGCGTCTCCCTTGATTAGCAACTGAAATCATCACCATCACCAGCAGTACATCAGCCATTGGAACTGATGCTTTGCTGCCATACAACCATGAGGACCTATGAAATAAAGAATAAGAAGAGGGAGAGAAAGGGGGGACTTACCTGAAAACCTTAATGCCCTAAGCAAACATTCTGGGTCAAGGCGACTACACATTGTTTAGACAAAATACCGTCACAAACAGCTGGCTATCGTGCAAAGATAAGGCGGCATCGGCGAGACAGATTCCTTGCGGGTTTCACTGCCACGCGTCATAATCAGCCATTACCCCGCAGATAACTCAGCACCAAACACACTTTAAACAGGCAATCCGATTAGGAGACGGCAGCAGACGCGCCACTGGTGTCGGTTGCGAGGCGTCCTGCAAAGTCTCGAGCCAAGCACAGGGTGAGTGACGTGGACTCCAACCCGGAAGGCGAGACGGACCAACAGCACTCAGTTTGGTTGTCAGTGACTTCATTTCACGCTGCCAGGTCAACTTCTGTCCACTTCGAGCCTTGTGCCCTCCTACACCAGGGAGACTGAACAAGGCCCTCCTAGGTAAGCGGTGACCAGGCATACGTAGCATGTGCCCGACGGAACGCAACTTATTCAGTGCTATCTGTTGTTCCAGGGAGCTAGCATGATTATCACTACCTAGTACTCGCCTACGCACATCATCGTTGGGGATACGCTGGTACCATCCGACACCAGCAATGCTTCGCAGACAACGATGATCAACGACTTGAAGGCGCCTCAGATCTTCAGACCGAAGGGGCCAAGTTTCACTACCATAGAGCAGAACGGCCCTCACTGTGGCCTTGTATACACGGCCTTTCAGACGGAGGGAAACCCTTCTGTCGCCAAAGCAACTGAAAAGTTAGCTTTCGCTCAGGCAAGCGTACTAGGTTGCCTTGAGTACTGAACTTTTGTTTCAATTGAATAGGAACCATGCAGGATCATCCGCTTGCGGCACTGTCAATCCTCACTGCAACAGTCACTGGATATCTTAGAGGTCGTTACACCTATTGGACTCCAGAAGAAAGCTCCCGGCTCATTTTGAGCGCAATGTAACTAGACGGACTATTAGGCACGAACTATAATAGAGTCTGCGTACTCACAAGGATGACAGTTGGGCTCAAGAAATAGTGGAAGCAGGAGCAGTTGGCAGTTACCGCAAGCTATTATAACTCATCCGCACCATTGGTCCTATTAAAACCAGGCGTCAGCGAAACGATCAGACAGCTCGGTTGCCCTGATACATAATATGGTGCGCCGAATGGCTCTTTGTGCGCAGCACTTTTGAGAGCAGTTCATTTGGCCCCGTGCTCTCTGACTTTTTCCTACTCAACTGGTGCAGGCTGAGCCCTGGCCGGTTAGTTTATAGGCTTCATCAGAGACTATGATCAGGAATGCGATCACAGCCCTTAATCGTTTTGAGCTTCTGGCCCTGATTCCCCTCGCATCCGCACTATTTAATGATGGCGGTGAGGTCCTCTACGAAGCACTGACCTTGTTCGAACATATCTAGAGGAAAGAGACCATCCCAGCTAACTGGAGTGAATCTCTTATAGTGACGATATACAAGAAGGGCAGCCGCACCGATTGTGCTAACCACAGATGTATTACCCTAACCTCGGTGGTGAAAAAATTACTGGCCTTAATTGTCTTTCGTCGCCTCAACGCGTAACTAGCATCCCGTATTAGGAAAGAGCAAGTAGGTTTCCGCCCAGGAGGGGCTGTATAGACCACCTATTGAGATTGCGCGTCGCAATCCACCCGCACAACGGGTACTTCAAAAATGACCCTCAACATCGTTCATTATACCGTTGTGCCAAGCGTTGCCCGTGACGCGGTGGCTTAGGGATAGCAGTCACAGTTAACATCCCGATGATCCCGGGTTCCATGCCTGCTAACTCTAACTCATGAGATGTAATAACATCGAAACGCGTCATAGTAGTGCAGTGTTTTCTGGCGAGCAACACCAAATTTCTATTTAGACCACCTATTCACTTTGCAGCTGGTGCTAGAGCTGCGCCACACGTACCACAGACACAATAGCTGTGTTTATGGACTTCATGAATGTTTTCGACTCAGTCGATCGATGCATTCTGTTCGAAATATTTGTGCGAAAGTGTTCTGCAGATGTATTTGAATACTTTACGTTCTCTGCGCTCGAACACAACTGACTACCTCATTGTTTGCAATGTTTAGTCGGATGTCTTTCCAACAACAAGTGGCATTCGTCAGGGTTGTCCACTTTTCTTTCTTTTTTTCTAACTTCGTCGTGGACTGCATCATGGAGTGTTCCCTCACCGAATCTCACGATGCAGGCATTGCAATCCTACGTGGTGAAAGCTAGCTGATATCGATTAAATGGACGATATTGTCTCGCTTACATTTCAGTTTGCTAACAATACTTCGAACAGGATTAACATGGAAGAGCGCGTGGAAAAACAATGAACATTTAGGTACATTTGGCCTTCCGTCTTGGGGATACCCTCGTCGTCGGACATGTCAGCGGTTAGGTGCCCTATCGTGTATGCCATCCACGAGTTCAGTGGCGTTGTTGCATTTTTCCCTTTACGTTTCACTGTTGACAATTTCATCTAGGACTTTTGTTGTTCATTTATGTTACAACATCGTGATATTTCTCACCTCTATCTGACGTATTGCATGACGAATGATGATGATCATTGTTAGTATCAGCGCTACGAAGCCCTCCGCGTGGAACAAACACCAAAGTTCATCATTTGAATTGGCTTCCTACCGTTTGTTAAAACTGAACTCTTTTGCGTTACGTAGTACCTATTATTGCTACACCACCGCGATGACATGAAGTTTCGAGTAACCATACACAAAAACACGACTAGATTTCTGACGTTGATTTCTATTACAGCACCTATCGGTCGTGTAAATTAGATTACACCAAGTGCCGTTTTACTTTATGACCGTTAGTTGTGCCCGGGAATATCTGACATCTCCGTTATTACCTAGGCTGCATGTACGTGCTTTACTCGAGGATGTGTCCCAGCGAGTATCGGGCAGTGATGGTCAATCTGGTAATTTATACCACCAATTTGTCCTCGTGTCACTGTTTACACATGTTCCGCTGTCAGAAGCAGTTAATTTTCTTTGCGCCTACGTTGGTTAGCACAAGATAAGAGTTGAGATACCAATTGTCTACCTAAAGCAGCTATTATTTAGATGCACATATAACCTTTAATTCTAATTCCACAATGAATTATTCAAACAGATAGACAGAGTAGCTATGGGATAACCTCGCGGGCCAGTGTTAGTTAGTATCTACATGATTGGGCTGGAGGATAGGTTGGTCGCACGAATTCGAATCGGTGACCATTGGATGAAAGGCAGGTGCGTTATCCTTTCGGTCCCCGGTCGAATCATGAGACTGGAACCGGCATGTTTAGTTACTGACCACCAGATTAATGCTGTTGGTCTGTTTGGCACTTTCCAAGATTCAAGCTACTCACTCTATGCTTTCTCAAGATGTGATGGAACGCGGTTCATACCGTAGCACCACTGCTTTCTGTATTTTCTTACTCAGAATATCTGTTAACAATGCGTCCGGTACTGTGAGGTATCGTTGTCAGTAACGCGGAGCACTGAAAGCAGCAACTTGACCTTTTTACTGGTACCACCCAACCTTCGCACGTTACCCAGACGGTTATGACTACTTTTGCTAAGGTGTAGATACTGCAAATCTAACAGCTCACTTAATATGTTTAGGTTTTGTGTCAGGCTCCATTTTATAAACAAATAAATGAATGTTTTTCCTTGATTACCACTAGCCACATAGAAATCGGATCATAAATGAATCTGGGGCGCGTAAAATGTCATGGCGGTATTTTCCAGGATTTTTAGTAATTCAAAGCAAATTTTAAAGCATGTCTAATTACTGGTCTGAAATGTTAATGGAATCTGATTTATTGGTATAGGTCCTTTACTTGCGAGCGTAATAAAATTAAATTGCCATTGTGGATGCTCGATGTCTGTGGTGAGAAATTTTTAATGCGGTGCTAATCTACATCTTCAGCATGCGTCCCTGACGTCGTAATGAATAAATAACTAACCTTTTATTCTCGACTATTCGCGACACGGACGCCGCGAA